GATCCAGAGATATTTTCTGACAGTCTTCCAAATTATCTTTCTTGGCCAATCCTCGACTGGCCCCCCCCCCCCCCCCCCCCCCCCCTCTTACTAGTACATCTATCACGTAGGCCTACAAACTACACAGGTCTTGGTAACATTGTAGTACATTGCTTAACGAAAATGTGCTTGGTAGTTATTTTCAAGGTACTGTCACGCTTATATAGCGTATAGTTTTTTAGCTATACGTTAAAACTATACGTTAAAACTCATGTGAAAAATTGGCCTTACGCAGAGAAACGCATAGGATCCGTTAGACGTAGCCGTATAGCTCTCTAGTATGCAGGCAAAAGAAGATAAATGTTGTGAGCATGTTCAAATACAAGTCCATGCGCTGTTTAATATGCTTATTTCTTTGCGTTAAATAGAGGGCGATTTCTCTCGCTGACAGTTGTGCGTGTAATCGATTTTACATGCGACATTCATAAGCACCTCTTTACGCTAGAACGGACAGGGCCTTTACGATGACACTAAGAGAGCATTCACATCGAGAAGAGCCGAGATCTAGCAAGGCCGAGACCTAAATATGGCGGACCTACAAGAAATGAATTTTTCAATGAATGTCAATGAGAGACCATTAAAGGATTACGCGGTCTTCCTTTCATGTAGGTCCGCCATATTGAGGTGTCGGCCGTGCTAGACCTCGGCTCTTCTCGATGTGAATGCTCTCTAAAAGTGAGTTCACACTAAGACTATTTGGGAGCAGAAGTCGGCCTAACTGACGTTTAAATTAGATGACTATAAGTGGAAAACAGCGAAGGTAATCGCCTAGACAGGAGCCGGTTTAGAATTTTAGACAGGCTTTTCTTCATCGTTGCTTTTTTTTTTTTTAATTCAATTCAGAGATGTAAATTTTTCCTTTGTAAAATTTCATTCATGATACCAGCTACCAAATCCTTAGACTAATTTTAACCGCCTTCCGGAAGACGCGGCGAATTGTTTTACTCGCACCCGTCTTCTCTTAAAACTCGACAAATGCAATCGCGCCTGATAATAACATATCATATTTTCCATTCCGAACAAAAAAAATGTTCAGTGTGCGGCTAAATCGTTCGATAATTTACCGATTTGGTGAGAAATGCTGATCCGAAATTCCGTATTAGCATTCAAATCACCGCCATCTTTCATCAAACCCGCTGTTTGTACAAGCCAGGTTAAGAAAATTTATATAGAAATTACTTTTTCATCCACATAATAAAAGTTTCAAATGTTAAACTATCAGAAAAATGTTTTTATCTAATATAATTAAAGATGTTTGTAATGTTTTTATTCAAGCAGAAAAGTAATAAACGTTTAATACGCAATAACAAATCAAAATCGGTTAAAAATATATTAAAATAAATTCTTCAAATCAAAAATATGGAAGTCTAAATGATTTTGGAATCATACAAATCGTAAAATAGACGGATCTCAATGTTGCTTTTAGGTATATCTCAGCCATAAAAACGATCCACAGGACAGCATAACATAAAAAAATATTTTACACAGTTCTGCCTTCACTTAAATAGGCAAACAAGGTCGGGATAATTGAACTTACTAAATTTTGCACACACAAAGCGACACAACTCTAAATATTTGTGTTTGTGCGTTACAAGTTTTTCAATTTATATATCTGTCGTACGTCAAAAATCAAAGAAACAAAATCTGCAAGTGACAGAGATACATAATTGACAGATCTTGCAGATAGACTAGTCACTCGTGTGTATCGTTATACTGATTTCACTTTAAATCTGCCAGAGCAGATATTTTAACGTCCTCGTAAGACAAGGGCATGTAGTCCGTTGGCAATGACCAACATGTTACCCAGGAGTATTATCAGAAATCTATCAAAACAAAATAGCCTCTGTGTGGAGGACGGGTCATTTCGCAGTCTAGTTTTAATATTTTCCGTTCACCGGCTCTAATAGTTTCCGTTCACCGCAAAGAACGCCATGACAAACAGGTAAGCAAGAGCCGAGATATGTGGCGAAGCCGCTGCGCTAACCTTGACACACGCCCCCTCTGTGTCGGAGGCTCCGTCAGTGGCGCACATGCTGGAATTGGAGAGGATGGGAGAGAGAACGGGGGCGCGGAACCCGCACAGTTCCCGCAGGGTCTGCACGCGGGCTGGCGTGGCTTGGTACGCATATTTCATACGCAGTCTGAAGTTGGAGCCGGTTTCCAGTGAACCGACGAAGATGTAGTCCTGGCCCGGTCTGACGTGGGTGAAGTCGCACGTGGAGCCCAGGCTGATGTTCCCGCGCGGCAATGCGTCCGATTTCAAATCTGACTTGGAGTGCTTTAAAACGCAGTAGAGCTCCACCACGTACACGTACAAGGGGAGAATCACCCTCGTTAACGGCCCTGGGATTGTTATAGCGCCACCGCCCGACCCCACCTGGATATCTACGTCACACTTGTCACACGTGTTGTCCAGGCACGATAGACAGCTCCCCTTGACGCTGGCGGAGACATTCGTGACGTAATAATCCACAACCCGGCCATGGATTGCCTCCTGGTTATAGTAAAGAACTTCATTAACTGGCTTTGAAGAGTTGAGTTCATTGGAAACAAAGTTGAAATTCGAAGGCGAAGGACTTAGGACTGATACACTAGTGGCTTTGAAGAACGGGCAGTCCCCGGCGTAGATAGGCGGCGCTAGCGTCGTGGAGGTCTGTGACAGAGATCCCTTTATGAAACACAAGCACAACACAGCTATCACCGTCAGTGCCATTGTCTGGAAGAGAAGATACAAAGGAATTTTACTGACAGACGACCCGAATAAAAAACTTCCTCTGTTTCTACTGTATCAAAAAGTAAATAAAAATGAATAATAATTCTTGACATCTATTAGTCAAACTGCAGGCTAGAGATGTGCTGTAAGATTCCGAGATTTTCTTAAAAGAAAAAAGTTCTGAGAGACAGATCTCTCTCACATACACACACAGACTGTCACACACAGGCGCGCGCGGGCACGTACAAACACAAGTGTATGCACAGACTTGAATTGCCTCATATCTGGATAACATCTCAAGACAGGGGCTGTTGGATTATGACGTCAGTTACCACAGCAACGGTTCAGGCGGGTGGGACTTTCAACAACCAGTGGGTCAATAAATGGACAAAAACAGTGTAAAGAGGACGTAAAAGATTCTCTTTTCTTTTGGAAGTGCTGGCTACAGTCCTGTGATATTCGACGCAATGTTGGAAAAAAATGACGCAGGTCGTCTCGCAGAGTATTCCCACCGTATTCCGCTAATTTATGTTAAAATCAATATATCTGGGAGCGTGAATTGCAAGTCTAAAAAAACGACTGTGCCAACACTTACGGCAAAACAGCAACTATCATGGTAAATATAGCCATATGCAATTATTATCGGCAAGTTTGTTGCGAATAAAAGCCCTACACAATGCGGTCTTTGTGATACTCTGCGACATAATACAGTGAGGAGATCAATTAGACCTACTAGTGCTTTATAGAAATGGCGGTAACCCGTCTGCAGCAGATGACCTATAGTGGACAGAAGACAGGTGTTCAAAATGTCTAAACAGCGTCTATAGGGGCCTACACCCTTCACGTTTACGTCCCAGCTTCACTGACCCCATTTAGATCCGGTAAAACCTCACCTCTGCACTGGCTTTATCTATAGTCTCAGATATAGGTCACTAAACTACGCGAGCAATAACGTTTCCTCTACCATTCACAACACACACAATACAGGGGCGGATTTAGGCCGTCTTCTGGGTCTTCTGGAAGACGGTCAGATTTTCAAGTTTACATTGACGGGTATCTAATTTTTTCCGTCGGAAGACGATCAAAAATGGAGGATAGATTAATAAAGATAATTTGGAAGACTGTCAGATTATATCTCTGGATCCGCCCCTGCAATACCATGTTAATATGTCGAGCCACACTCACACACGCCGACTTACCTTCTTTATGTCCACCTGCAAATGGTTAAATTTCGCAACTTTCTCTCTGCTTTACATCGCAACGAACATCCTTTTTCCTGGAAAGATTTCAAAACTGGTTTTCCTCCAGTGACTCATTCCACGGCGGTCATACATTATCCCGTGCTGCTGACACCGTGTTGTGACGTCATCCTCGAGCTCTGCATACAGGGTCACCGTTAACACAACAATAGGCTATAATTGAAGACAACTTGGGGGGGGGGGGGGCAGGGAATACAAGACAGATGACAGTTTGGTATAACAGGGTATAGAGGTATTTCACATTGTAACAGACTTTATGTCATTTTATGAACCGATCGAGGTTTCAGTGGCAATTTTCTGTACGATGATGAAGTCGATGAACACTATAGTATATATACCGGTACATACATGAATATATGACCACGGCTTTGATCACTGATATTTTCCAAAGGACAGTGAGTGATTTCTTACTGTAGTTGCCAAACAAAAATATAATATAGGCCCCATATGTTCTTTTATGAGTCCGTCTTGGGTTTGGCGTACAATTTTAAGCGTTTAGACTTAAATAAAACGACAATTAATTGAACTATAACTAAAAGTATATAAAGTGAAAGTAATAGGAAAAACTGATGCTATGTATGCAATGCGTGATATAGAAGCCGCCCCAACTGCTTGACAAGGCATGTCGGGGTCTGTCCCGTAAGTTGAACACTGGTTATAGTCAGCCAACGTCGGTGATATCTCCGGCGATCGAAAGCCACACAGCTGGCGAAGAAGTTCGACTTTTTCGTCAAACATTTTATAGGCATATTTAAGCTCGAAGTTGAGCTTTGGGCTTAAAGTAGTTACTCGTCCAGTAAAAATGTATTCAGAGTTCGGTCTTACGTGGCTAAAGTCACAAGTCGTTGCCAACGTTATTCGAGCTGGGAGAGCTCTGTACGTCAGGGCAGGTACATTATGTTTTACCACACATATAAGGTCCACGTCATAATAGTGCTGTGGGAGAATGTATTGCGTCACACCTGGCTCCACGTATCCACCGATAGCTAACGTGACGTCACAGGAAGAGCACGTGGCGTCACACGTCAAACAGGTGCCCTTGGCTCCGACAGTGACGTTCCCCGTGCGGTAGTCGACAACTTTACCCTGTATTACATCATGGGAATGAAACAACTCGTCCTTAAATGTTCGACTGGAGTTTATTGCTTTTGTAACCAAGCTGAAGTCAACTTTGAACTTTGAGCCAAGGATTTTGGGGTTTTGTGCTTTAAAGAAAGGGCACTCTGGTGCAATAACAGGTGGGGGTGGAGTTGGTGATGATTCCCCCCCTTCGACAAGGTGTAGAGTCAACAGCGCTGATAGGTGTAGTATAAGACTGCTTCCAAACATCTTTCTGAAAAACATAATGTTAAAGCCTATGTTGGTGGTTATCACACTTGTGTGCTGTTGATAATGCTAAATTTTTTTGGTTCTTAACAAAAACGTTTTTTTTTTTTTAAAAAAAGGTCTTAAAAGACCAGAAAAAATTTTGAATCTTTTAGAAAAAAGAATTTACTAAAGGTATTTTAAAATGTCAAATTACCTAGAAATCAGTGCTTTTATATAAATAAAATACAATTTAAGAAATTACGTAAAATCACGTCTCCTGGTCATCCCCACTACGATTGTTTATAAGGGTGGACCTAATTAATGTACTGTCAGTGGCTATTGCCATTGACCTCATATTTTAAAGAACTTATGAACTTTTGGAGGATATTGTGATGCTCAAGAGCTTTTAGACTATGGTTGAACATAGGTAATGGCCAACCACAATAGTTGTTTAAATGTTAAAAATAAATAAATAGATAAAATAGACAGTCGGCCATGCAGCCAGTCAGTCAGGCAGACAAACTGGCCGTTAGCTGGACCTAACTAAACTCATTATAATAAACTGAGGCAGATCCTAACATCAATAAACGTATTCCCATGCCTGCATAGGGAGTACAGGAGTGAGCAGCCGCAGGAGAATAAAAACACTAACTCAAACGTCGTACACGTATTGATTTCTTCTAATAGTAGATCGAAGTAAGGAGAGAGTCAGCCAGCGTCTGATATGCTTACGACCTACCAATATTACAAACTCTCTCCCCTCACAGCTCTCGCCTTCCTCCACCCCAACCCCAACCCCAACCCTCTGCATTCTTACCCCAGAATTAATAGATCTCGCGTGTGTGTGTGTGTGTGTGGGGGGGGGGGGGGGGGGGGGGGAAAAAAAAAAAGGGGGGGGG